TCTTGTGCGCTCTTTTTTCCTCACTCTTATTATATTTTTCCCCATATTTTCCTGACTTACTGCAACTCATTCTCACTTTGTTTTGTCACTTGTAACCAGAGGTGAAGAAGTAGTTTTTTGCTGATATTAGGACAAAAATTTTTTTGCTCTGCCTCATATTGTTCTCTCTCGCTCAATTTATGCGATTTAATCAGCAAATTACAAACAAATAAAACTTTTCAATATTTTACTGTCATGTACTTGTATCCCAATGTAAGCAGCATGTTTTATTTATTTATTTTTGTCTGTGCACCACCTGTGTAAAATGTCCCAGTCCATTAAATCAAGTGCACCAATCCCCACTGTGTTTTAGAAGTAGACGCGCATGTGCGCTGTATCAAGTCTYCTGTCATAAGTTCTGAACCRGACCGGACCGCACTGCCTCACCCCATCACTCTGGGCTCTGGTGTGTGTTTGAAATGTGCCGACTCAACTTGGGCAGGAGCGACAACCAGGAAACAGGGTAATGGGAGGGACAAACCCACTACTCTTGTGTTCCGCTTCAACAGGAGCAGAGTGAAGCATGTCATTCGGAAAGAAAGACCCGCGACTCACAGAATTTAGCCCAAAGTCGCTTATAATAAGCGGACCAGGAAACACTGCTTGAGAGATTCATCTCAAGTGAAGGTTATCTTTCTTTAACACTTCTGAAAGGTGGCTATTGCCTTTAATAAGGTTGTTGTGTACCTTTTTGTGTTTTCAGTAACACTTTTCTGCTTTTCTCAACAAGCTAAAAACATGAACACGGTGTTGAAACCCCTGTTTGGTGCTAATCCTGTCCCACAGGTGCGCCCCTGGTTTCTACGGCAACCCCATGGTTGTTGGCAGCAGGTGCCAGCCCTGCAGGTGCAACGACAACACGGACCCCAACATGCTGTTCACCGACTGCCACCCCCTGACCGGAGAGTGCCTCAGCTGCATGCACAACACCGCCGGACTGCACTGCCACGTCTGCGCTCCGGGGTACTATGGAGACGCCATCGGGGCCAAAAACTGCACCAGTGAGTCCAGCTCATAGACTTGAATAAAAACACTAGACTGAGCCCGGCCCATTCCATCCACTGGTAGCGTCTGTGACAGCATGGAGGAGCAGAAACAGACCAAACAGGACAACAGCTCACAGCCTCCATAGAAACTAATAGATAAACAGCAGCTGAACTGGATCTGTTTCACAAATTATCTGTCATATTTTTACAATAAATTAATAAGTATGTTAATTTCATTCAAMAATCATGTAAAACAACAGATTTATACCAGAAAAATATATAATTTATAAGTAACAATGATCTAAACCAGACCTGAAGTCAGCCTGTAACAGACTTTAGCTAGTTGAAAAATGATGACTTCAGCTAGAAATAAAGTATATTTATTATTTCTTCTTACTGTCATAAAAAATAATAATAATAAATGTTTACCAGTCAACAGTTAGAAAATGTTCTCTGGTTATAGGATGAAACTTGTCTCTATTAGCTAACCATCTTCTTAACGTCAGGTTCCTCTAACAGAAACCTAAAAATACTCACATTTATAATATTATTTTACACTCTGTAGGTCTAAATATTAATCAGAGACTTTTATAATATTATTTTACACTGTGTAGGTCTAAATGTTAATCAGAGGACAAATTATTATTTAATAGTTTGTGTTAAATTGTAGCATGATTAAGCAGAGCTACACTCTGTATATATGCTCCACGAGCTAATATCTGCTAAGCAGTTCAATAAACAACAGTGATTACATCGACTTTATAAGATTATTTTACACCTAACAAAAATATAAATGCCCCATGTCAAATACAGGGGTTTTATGAACATTTGTGTTATGCAACATACAGAGAAACTCAAAATATATTTTCAGTAACTACTGATCTTCATATTGGCATTGTGGTTATGGCCATTTGAAGCGGATTGACAGTCCTTTGAACATGATAGGGGTCAGGTTGAGGAATTTCATTTTTCAGTATCTTGTGTGTCCGCGAGCTGCGTCACTCAGAGCAACACATCTTCTTTGCATGAAGTTGATCAGATCATCTATGGTGGCCTGTGGAATGTTATTCCATTCCTCCACGGAGTGCCACGCGGAGCTAACCCACATTGCCTGGAACTGGAACACGGTCCCAGACACGCCAATCCAGAACATCCCAAMGATGCTCTATTGGGGACATGTCTGGYGAATATGCAGGCCAGTCCAGAACTTCATCGTCCTCTGTTTGAAGGAATTCCTTGCAGATGCGAGCAACGTGAGGTCGGGCGTTGTCATGTTGAAAGGCGATGTCATGCTTGCGACATCTGAGGCATTATAACATGTGACACAATGTCAGCAAATGCTCATTTACTGTTGTTAACTCACCATGACAACAGTATTTGACATGGGGCGTTTATATTTTTGTTAAGTGTAATTTTAAACTGTTACGTTACGTTCTGGTGAGATCACATTGAGCTAAATAAGATCAAATCTGCTGACTTGTGTTGTGAACTGAGACGTTTTCCTGCTTCTCTTCTGTTAATAAATCCATAACACAAACAGCTTTTCTGGCATTATTTAAAACATTAAATAGATTATATAAACTATAAAATTTTAATAAGAATCTTGTTAATATTATTATTAATAGTGTAGGAAGGGAGCTTAAGGTGGTATTAAGCTTCTCCCACACCTCTCATACACAAGGTTATGAGGAAACTTTTACCAAGGTATTTCTCATTACTTGTTAATATCTTGACTGTGCAAAGTGAAAAGTGACACAATAAGTGAACGTTCAGACGAGTTCAAGTTGATTCATAAAAGACTATGCAATCATTTATTTACACAAATTGAACAAATCATAAGTACACTTGATTGTGGGTATTCCAATAAAAAGTGTCAAAGTTTAATGAGATAAAACCTGCGTCCGAATTTCAATTCACATCAACTTCGATTACTTATATAGTACAGTAAAACGTCAGTTCTGATGTTAACAACCAAACAATTTTACTGGCACTTTCCGCTTAAGTTTTGGCAAATTAAGAACAAAGAAAAGGAGGAAAGTAAGGTTAGTAAGTTACTACTTTTACTTTATCAAAGTGTGGTTCAACCGGATCAGCACGTCTTCTCTGCGCTCAGGGGTCCACATGACACGTCACCCCGAACACGTCAGCTTTACCTGGTGATGTCTTCTTAAGACACCCTCTGGGTAGGAACTGTCTCACCTCCGATCAGTCAGGGAACTGATTATCGGCTCGCTTACTGGTCATCGGCGATGTAGGTGTTTTTCAGGTAACTTTTCGTCTGTTTAAGTCCAAGCCAGAAAAATTCAAGCTGTACATCCGGTCCCTTCTTTTCAAAATAAAATCTCCCCACAGGAGGTAAAACACACTTTAGAGGCTTGAAACCTTGGGGTGGGACCGCCGGCGGCGTGCGGGGTCCCGGCTGTTAAGTCTTCCCTAATTAGCTCATGGGCTAAGACTTAACAAGCCAAACTGAGTTCCTCCGGAGAGAGAATTCAGCCTTCCTCRGTTGGAGTCAGGAAGAAGAGTGTGTCGATCAAAGCCGTCCGGGTTAGTAAAAGAAACGGACGATCTTTGGTTCCGCCCTCAGGCTTAGAGATGAGTCAGAGAAAGAAAGATAAAAGATTTGCCAGGGCGCCAGCCCAAGGTTAAAATTCTGTGGTTGCTCACAACATGATGATAACCTTTTTTCAGCTTTCTTCTGATAGACTCTAAGAGAAATCACTGCAAAACATTTATGATGATTAATTAACATTTCTGTTTATAATCAGTTCTGAACCTTCTGTTAGTCCAGATAAATGAAAGATTTTCTCAGGAAAAATCTACAATTATATTACTGTGTTCACAGTAAAATAAAAACAGTGATTTACATAAAAACACAATGAAAACATTGTAATGAGATTCTCTGTGATTTTTATACAATTATTAATCTTTAAGGCACGATAAAAGAAGTGGTTCCACTTTTCTTGTGATAGTCATTATCATGATTTAACAAATGCATAAACATTCTCAGTTAAACAACAAATGAATCACGAACAGAAGAGATTGTTCTGTCCATTATCTGTTTAAGAGAACTGAGGAGTTCTCTTGTAGGTTGGAATGACCTGTCATGGCCTAAATAGAGTTCAGTTTGTGACAGAGTTCCTGTCCTCTCGTCAGGCCTGTCCGAGGCCTGCTTCGAGGCAGTAAATCTTGTTTCTTCACTCGAGGTGACCCCTACAATAGTTTTTATGATTTCTACATCGTCAGTCTTTTTTTCTGCTCTGTCACCAGCAGTAATGGTAAATCCATTACTGCTTAAATCCAAACTCTTAGCTTACTTAGCTGCTTTTTTCTTGCAACAATACAAATTCTAACAGTCTATTCAGTAGGACTGTCAGCTGTGTACTTAAATCCAAACTCTTGACTGTTTTGCGTTAGCCATTAGCTTCACTAGCCGATCACTTGGTCACGTGTTTCTGAGCACTCCAGTTGTTATATATAACCTCCTTGGTCCAGTTCCAAACCATCATCATCATCATCATCGTCATCATCACTCCTAGCTGCTGCTCTGTGAGCTCAAAAGACAAATCATTCTCCTTCAGTTTCTCCCCTAAAAGCAGCAAAACACAGTTTTTTCTTATGATCAAACTTTTTATTCCTTTTGTTTGTTTATATTTTTACCCAGAATGCAACTGTTCTTCCTGCGGGACAGAATCATGCGACCCTCACACGGGGCAGTGTCACTGTAAACCTGGAGTCACAGGACCGCGCTGCGAACAGTGTCAGGTAAAACTCCCTTCTTCAGTTTGATTACAGCTACAGCAGCCTGAGCTCAGTATAACACCAGCTAAAAGCTACAAGGAGCAAAATGTTGTTTAAAACACAGAAACAGGAAAAGGCAAGCTAGAAGCTAAAATCATAAATAAAAATGTAGCTGAGAATATGTTGAAAAGTAGCAAACTGTCAGCTAAAATCTACAAGTAGCAGAATGGAAGCTGAAAGCTAAATGTAGCACAGAAATATTAAATAAAGTGAGTAGCTACAGCAGATTTTGAAGAAAAATTAATTTTAAATCAATTTAGGAGTTCCAAATGCATTTTTCTGTGACCTGAAAGTCTTTGTTGTTGTTTTTGTAAGGTGGGCATGTTTGGCTTTAGCTCATGTTCTGGCTGCCGTCAGTGTGAATGTGATGCTTCAGCTGCACTTGTGCAGCCTTGTGAGTCTCAGAGCGGTCAGTGTGCCTGCCAGCCTGGAGTCACCGGCCCGACATGCAGACAGTGTGCTCCCGGGTACTGGGACTATGGACCCGACGGCTGCAAGAGTGAGTATTTACAGTAGAGGTGGGGACTCCAGTAATCAATATTAGGACTTTAGACTAGAAATGTTCAGAGACTTGTGACTTGACTTTTATACCAATGACTTGGGACGTGAACTAGACTTGACCCTGTATACTTAAAAATGCTTTTTATACCCAAAATCTAGTTTAATACACATTATTTACAGCGGGTAAAATAAGTATTGAACACGTCAACATTTTTCTCGGTAAATATATTACTAGAGGCGCTAATGACATGAAATTTTCACCAGATGTCGGTAACAACCCAAGTGATCCATACATACAAAGAAATCAAACCATAAATAATGAAATGGTGAAATAATGTTCTTTCCACTTCTGAATTATGGCCCCAACAG